AGTTTATTTTTTACAAATGACAAAAAGTTTCAGTGCTGAAATGAGTCTTAAATTTACAGAATTTGTAAACATTGCCGTTTGGCTAGCTAAGGTAGAATAAATTATTGTATAAATAACAACTTTTTTGAGTTAACAAAAAAACTGATTTTTTTTTTTTTAAAAATGCTATACTCTTTACCAGCTAAACATAAATTACTTTTTTTATTCACTTTAGCAATGAGTTGGTACTGCAACGCTAGTTAGTTAATCATTATTACCTGTTTTTTGTATATTTAGTAGCATAATATCTTAAAGAACAATCTTCAAAGAAATGTATAGTTGAAAAACTCACTTTTTTCAAGTTTTTTGAGTAAACAGTGATGTAACTAATACAGTATGTTATTCATCATTTCAAGTGAAAAATATTTTTATTTTATTCAAAGAACAACATTAAAAACTGCTTAAAATCTGTTCCTTTGCTTTTTCTAGAATTTCTGTATGGCAAATTTGCTTGTTTTGAAAAAAAAAAAGAATTCAACCATTTAATTATCGACTACAGTATATAACAACTACACAAGTAAAACTTGCTAAATTTTGGAAATATGTTCTATGAACTTTGAAGTTTTTGAGACTTCTATTTCTATTCAGTTTGGTTGTAACATTTTTAATCGTTAAAATTTTTATTACTTTTGACTTTGTGATTATATCTTTTATAGTTTTAAAAAAGAAAAATTTTTGGTTTTTTTCTTAGATTTTAAACAATAAGTAAAGAAGTAACAGAGGCACAAACGACGTAAGTTTGAAGGTTTAAACAAAGCAAGTTAGACAACTACACATAGACGTCTGGAAACTTAGACGTAAAGAAAAAATTGATGAAAACGAATTTTTTAGTAGGTTATTGGGTTAGGTAAATAATGAACAGCTGGAAGTGTTGGTAAAAACAGACCAAGAAAAACGAGGAGTGAGAGGTGGCACGTTTTCCATAAGTCAATTTAGGCCGCATTAACTCAGCTGGAAGAGTGGCGAAATAACAAACTACACTTTTGTAAAATTGAGCAGAATTATGCCATTTTGAAAGTAATTTTAGAAATAGAAAATAATTAGTACAGTTATTAAAGATTTGCAGTTAGGACTGGCAAATAGGTTTGGTTTTGACGTTTATTAACGACAACGTTTTTCAGAGAACACTGCATTTCAAAAATTGTAACACATATGAAGAGGTTTTGAGAATAAAATTTTTCTATTCGTTCCAGTTCTCACCTCTTCTAATACATGTACGTTTCCTAGAGTGATTAAAGCTTTTATGATAAACATTTATTTTAAGGTACCT